AAATTTTTCCACCACAGATCATCAGGCATTAGATTCTCATAAGGAATATGCCTAGGTCCCTTGCATGTGCAGTTCACAATAAGGTTGGTGCTCCTATGAGAATATAATGCCACAGCTGATCTGACAAGAGGCAGAGCTCAGGTGGTAATGCTCACTTGCCTGCTGCTCACCTCCTGCTCTGTGGTCCAGTTCCTAACAGGCCACAGACTGGTATTGGTCCACGGCCCAGGGGTTGGGGACCCTTGCATTAGGGAACTATGAAGAAGATTGTTGGATTGTATCAATGTTAGTACTCTGGTTGTGTTATCATACTATAGTTTTGCAAGATGTTATCATTTGGAGAAACTGGATTAAGGGCCCATGTGACTCTCTGTACTCTTTATTACAACCATATGCAAATCTACAATTATATTATTATCACCAATAATTATATTCCCTATCTTAGATCTGTTTTGAAAAAGATAACTTCATGCCTAATATAATATGGTATTAAAAGTACAAACTTTGACCTTGACATATCTGAACTTGAATCCTGGCTCTATCGCTTTTTAATTGACAATGTTACCTAACCTCACATGGTTTTGTTTTTCTCATCAAATGAATAAGAATAATAATAGTAAGTACCTTGCAGGGTTTGAGGGATTAAATGAGATAGAGTATGTAAATCACTTTTTCAGTACTTGACATATAGGAAACACTGAAAAATATGAGCTGCTGTGGTCATCATCATCATTATAATCATCACTATTAATTATTACTTATGTAATTAGACATAAGAGGAACTTTTAATCACCTTTTCTCAGGCTAGAGTCTAAACTAGCTACTGGATATTCTGGCTTCTCTTTAATAAAGGGCACTTGGGATTTTTACATTGTTTTACTTAAAATAAGTTTATTGTTTACTTAAAATAAGTTAAAGTCAATTTTATTCCTTGGAACAGTATGATCATTGCTAATGAATGTATTGTAACAAACTATTGGAATTAATGATGGTAGATACTGAGATCAGTGAATTCTGTGTAAAATAAAATATAACAGAAAGGAGGAAGGAATTTATTGAAATTTGAACAGCATTCAGAGTATCCGAACTCCAGCAATACGCTTCTGAAACACATAATTATTTTTAGCTGGAGACTTGAAGGTTTTCTTTGCCAAAACAGTGCAACCAGTGATTTCTCCCTTTTCTGTCAATCACTGAAGTCCATCTGATATAATGAAAAAGCCCAGGACAGGGTGATTAGCAGTTTTGGACTCTAGATCCAGCTCTGTCATGACACTGTAACCTTAGGCTCCTATCTTTTACCTTCTCTAGACACCTGTTTTCCTATGTGTAAATTATGAGCTTTGGATTAGATTAGTGATTCTCAAAGAACGACCCCTGGACCAGCAGCCCCAGCTTCAACTGGGAACTTTTTAGAAATGTACACCCTCAGGCCCCTACCTCAGATCTACTGATTTAAAGACTCTTGATGGGGAGCAAGGGGAGAGAAGGAAACAATCTGTGTTTTAACAAGCCCTGTGGATTATTCTGATACACACTAGAGTTTGAGAATCACTGCCCTAAATTAAATTTTAGCCTAAAATTTAAATTGTTGGACTGAATTCCAGAGTTTTCTCATTCAGTAGGCATGGGGTAGAGTTTAAGAATTTGCTTTTTAAAAAAAGTTTCCAGATATTGCTGAGGCTGCTGGTCAGGTACTACACTTTGCGAAGTAATACTAGGTTATCTCAAAGTTCTATTCCAACTCTACGTTTCTATTATTACTCTTGCTTTCACGATGTCCTCTGACCTCCTCCTTATTTACTTTGTCTTTCATTTTAGTGAATAGCCTCTGGGCTAATCTTTAGTTTTGAAGTTTCTAACATATCTTTCTTTGTAGAGTGTGATGAACAGAAATGAACTGACCTAAATTTTTACAGCTTATGTCAATATGAAATACCTACAGCTCTTTGGCATTAAAAATGACCCCAAGAGTTTGGTTAGTTATCTCATGAAGACGGAAAGTTATGAAGGAAGTATTTTAAGACACTAAGATTCAAGAATTAAGGATTGGTTTCTAATTGCTATTGACCTCCTTCTGTTATCTGATGATCTGAAGACCTTGGCCAACCAATGTAAAAATAATGTTTTCATTCTAAGATGCTGTTAAATAAGTAACACCAAAGAGCTCCGAATACATGTTCAAATGAATGTGTATTCCCATCTCTTCTTTATCATAGTTTTCTAGATACTTGGGATAGGATAACTCTCTGTGAGACATATTGTCTGCTAAACATGACAAGCCTCTGCCTGCCAAACTGAATTATTTAGTTGGGTCATGTTTCTTTCTTAAATTAGAGTTATGAGTAAGATCAACTATTGCTTTTATATTGCTCATTTTATCAGTTATTTGATAATTTTTGAGTCCTGAATATGGAAACCATGTAAGAAAAGAACGAGAATCTAACAAGGATTTACTGTGACATTGCATTACTATTATGTCAAGTACTGTGCCACAAGAGTTACTTTTATTGTTTACTTAGTCCTCATAATAGTTGTGTAAGGTAGTATAATAAACTTCAGTTTTTACATGAAGAAATATACTTAGAACAATTAAGTAACTGTTCAAGATTACACAGTCAAGAAAATAGTAGCATATAGATTTGAGTTTAGATAGATTTTTTTTTACCAACAAGGCCTTTATAGGCACCCAGTAAATTCTCAATAAATTCATGATGAGTAACTGAAGGAATGACTGTAATCACACTACCTTTTTAATGTTGAGTTTTAAACAATCACAGAATTATAAAGTTGGAAAGGCCCTAAAGGTTATTATATAATCAGGTTTTTTGTTATGTATTTGCTTTAAATATCTCTAACATATGGGGTTATGCAGCCTTTCTTCACTTGACCATCTCTAGGGAAAGGATATATAACATGTCTTTAATCAGAGTGACTATAGAATAGTTTATTACTAGAAAATTCTTCTTTGCATTTCATTTCCATGAATTTCTTCTTTTGGGCCTAGTTCTCCCTCTGTTAACCATTCAGTCTTAATCCAATCCTTCTTCCATACATTATTCTTTCAAATATTTGAAGATAATCTTACCTCTTTTATTTCTCAAGCTAAATAATCAAACATCTTCAGTTGCTTCTCAATAATAACATAATGTTTGTGAAGTGGAAAAAATAATAAATGAATATAATATCCAGACTCATCACTTTCTTATTCTCCCTTTTTAGAGTGTAAGCCATCTGTGTTGTATGTTGTGTACATATTAGGGCCATTTTTCTTGAAGAAAATGAAATTTTTCCTTTGATGTACTCTTGCACCAAACAATTGTAACCCATAGAAAATACTGTGTTTTATTTTCTGGCATAGAACAGTGACCTTGTCTCTGACATCTCAAGTTTGCATCAGGGTACAACAAGCTAGAGTTCAGCAGCAAACCTGGTGCTTTTCTTCAGCGTTAAAGGCGAGACCTGGGCACTAGGGGATCGGCTCCAATTTAAGCAGGCTTAGTTTGTACTCCAATGTACGCAACTTGGGCTTACCTCAGCTAAAATGGAAGAAATAGCTGCTCAAAGCTAGTTTCTTTCACGCCCCACTGGCAAGGTAGTAATTGCACAAAGACCTTTTTATTATAAGTTGATTTTCCTGAGAAATGAATTCAGAAAAATCCTGTAAAGGGTTTATTTTTTGCTTGCCCTTTATTAACCCACATCTTAGGTCTTTCCCTAGAGAAAAGCTGTTGGTAAATGAAACCTCTTAGACCCACACAGAAGCATTTTTTGCACTGCGTCCCTGGCTATGAAGGGAACAGGGACAGGACAAGGCAAGCCAGTGCTAATTAAACAGGGTCATCAGCCAGTGTATGGAATTTTGCCTAAAGAGAAGATTTAGGAATTTAGACAGGGGAAGGGTTTGGGGTTGGAAGAATTACTGGTAAAGGTTTGTATCTTAAATCAGATATAATGTAGTCCTTTTATACCAGTAAAAAGGCTAAATACCCTGTTTGAACTTAAAGATAATTTCTTTTGGTATATCTTAGTTTTGATCTTTAAATAAGACAAGTCCTGTATTCAACCCATAAAATTGTGCCCTAAAAGCCAGGACAAAATATTTCTGTCATGCTATCCTGGAATCCGGACAGCATTCATAGAGTAAAGAAGGAAGCTAGGAAATTAAAATGTAATTTTCACAAGCATGATTCTGTCAAAGCTCTTATTTTCTTTATATGGAATACAAATACTGATATAGAGTAAAGATTTTCTATTTTGCATTTTTGTGCTCTTTGATACATTTATTGAGGTCAAATGAAATTTGATATAGTAGGATTTATTATGAAATGCTCTCTAAATACAACTCCATAATTACTGAGCTACATGGTAGTACATAAAGCTGTAAAGCTGCTTAGCCAGACAAGCAATTTATATGTTACATCGAGGTGTGTATGGCAAAGAATATTAGTTTAATTGGGAGCCAAGATGTAGTCGCCTTAAATCTGAAGAGCTATATGTTTAACATAATGCAGTAGGGCTTTGAAATAAGATACCTAAACTGGGGAGATACAGCTTTTAGAATATATAACAATTAGACATTATTTTCTGACCAGGGATACTAAATACTGTTTTTGAAAGAAAGCACAGAATGCAAAGCAGGTGAAAGGGCAAAACCTCTAACATTGTGCAGTGCTAGAAAAGAAGCAAACTTATTTCTTCTAGTTTTTGTTTAAAAGAAAAAATAAAAGGGAAAAAGTCAAGAGAAAAGAAAACCATTACTACAGTTTGGTGGAAGCAGGGATGAGGCAAATTCACAATGAAGTTATGTCTTCCGTATGCTATTAGCATCTCAGAAAAGGGATTTGGTGAATTTTAACTGAATTTTCTCAGAGTGCAGATTTGGAATGAGGTTAGAGGTAGGTGGCCATGTGAGTACCAGCACACCACCAGGAGTGAAAAACAAATTCTTCTTGGCATACATTTGCTCCCTGTCTGATCATAGGCTCTCTTCTGTTTAGCAGGTTCAGGGTCACATGCCTCCGCTCATGATCCCAATTTTTCCACATGACCAGCGGACCCTGGCAGCAGCTGCTGCTGCCCAACAGGGATTCCTCTTCCCCCCTGGAATAACATACAAACCAGGTAAGTAGAGAGGGATTTAACATTCTTTTGGAAATGCTCAGATCCACATGTTTTTGCTTAGTACTCACAACAAACACAGGAGCATGCAAGGGAACTATGAATATAAATATCATAAAAGCTTATTTTAAAGTAAAATTAGAATTGGGAAGAGCGGGCAATGTAATAAACTAATTGGTTGCTAAAAACTTTTACTTTCTCTTCTTTCACTTCAGTTTGTCTTGAATTCACAGATAAGATACTACTTCTCCTGGGGACTACAATGTTTGTGTCAGCTCTCTCTCATATTTTACTGAATAATTTTTTTTGGTTAAAGATCCTTTTCTCCTTGTGAAAGCTGTTATGCTCTGGGAAGGTAATCACATACAGTACAAAATGTTATTGTTTGTTTTCAGACTTCTCCTAGAAAAATAGTTAAAACTGGACTGATTTAATTAGCTTACCACTTGTAGGTAAAATTGTTTTTTATTTTCGTCTAAATAATGAAGTATTCAGTATTTTTTAATTCACTTTTAAATCTCAAAAAAACAGGCCATGTAACCTTGCAGTGAAATATGTTTTAAGATGATTTAGCAAATATTATGATTTTTCTTTATTCCTCTGAGTTTACTGGACTCCTGGGGAATTCAATTAGGGGCATAATGGTTTGAAGCTTCTTTCAGAGCCTCCTTGTAAACAGGGCTTCTTTAAATGTTTAAAGATATGTTTCCAAAGGAATCCAATGTAAGAAGATAGTCAAGTAAATAAAAGTCAACCTTAATTTCATTTGTGCATTCTTTGTAAGTGACCTCAGCTCAGAAGTAGTGACCTTGTTCTACTCATTAATAATTTCTGTGTCAAGTTCTTTTTAACATATTAACCTGGTTATATTAACCATCAAATCTGAGTACAACAAATCTGCATGCAGCATTTTCTTTATGTATGTGGTTTATAAAGTGAACAAAGGCATTTTAATATGCTTAAAGCAGTAAGAAAACATAAATCACTTTACTAAAATTCTGGATAAGGAAGCTTACTAAATAACATAAAAATAAGCCTAGTTCATTTTAGCATCTGTTCTAATTGCTTGTTGCCATTGATTATTCTTTTGCATTTGATAGAGAACTTCTTTGTAAGAAAAGGTAGGATGTCTGTGGCAAAACACGAATGATTCAAGGGATAGAGCTATTAAGGGACTGGTGACTTTAAGGGCTGTCCGAAAATTCCTCACAAGTAAATGAATCAAACTCATATTACCAAAAGGCTTTTGGACACCTGAGAGAAAATTATGTCATTAAAATTGTTAAAAATTTATTTTTCGGCCGGGTGCGGTGGCTCACACCTATAATCCCAGCACTTTGGGAGGCCGAGGCGGGTGGATCACAAAGTCAAGAGATTGAGACCATCCTGGTCAATGAGGTGAAACCCCGTCTCTACTAAAAATATAAAAATTAGCTGGGCATGGTGGTGCGCGCCTGTAGTCTCAGCTACTTGGGAGGCTGAGGCAGGAGAATTGCTTGAACCCAGAAGGTTGCGGTGAGCAGAGATCGTGCCATTGCACTCCAGTCTGGGTAACAACAGCAAAACTCCATCTCAAAAAAAAAAATTATTTTTCTAGAGCATAATTTTCAGAACAAGTTATACTTACCTCCTATGAAATTGGCATCTATATTAGGGAAGGAGAATTTTTTTTCAGTGCAGTGGTTGTCATCTTTATAAGTCGTTGGAAACTATTTCTTCATTTTGACTTCCATTGGAACATTGAAGTAAACCAAGTTCACTGTCCTATCCTAAATTGGATTTTGACACCCCTGCACCAGTCCCAGAAACATTTAAAATGAACTATATGTGGAAACTTTCCATTTGACTTCAGTGTTTTGAAAGTTAAAATTACTCACATTTCAAAATCACATATGGGTCTTATTTTCTGTTAGACGCAGATATCTTGTAACTATATTACTTGCCTAATTTTGTTAAAACAATACTGCCACTTATCATGGGGGAAGATACTGTTATATATTTAATGAATTTAGACCATTTTTCAATGTCTTCTCGAACAGCATTAATGAAATTACAAAATTTAACTGAGAAAACTGGAGAAATTGGAACAATATTGTGCAGAAATTAGTTACTCCCATTGAATAAAGTGCAGCATAGAGTTAGTGTCCTAGGATAACAAAGCTGTATTGGATTATGTTGGCTAAACTCTTTTGAGTAAGGCAGGACAATGGGTTTGGAGTTGTAGGAAGAATTTTAATTACAAGCAAGGTTGGTAAAAAGTGTTTACTTTCATGTCATTCCTAAATTATGTCAGACAATTTAATTAATCAGAACTCTAATTATTTCAATAGTTTGGCAATCTAGTCTTTATTGTATATGAAAATGTGTTTAAAATTGATTATAATGGTATGTTCTTATGCTATTAGTAGAGAAATTACATCCTCAGAAGACTTAATCAATCTATGCAGTGTTTTTGATCATTCACATGAATTAGGTGAAGAGACTGCTATTGGACTGGAAACTGGAGAAGTACAATACAACTTTTTTTGCTGCAAACTAAGCTATGGTAACTTCACTTGAAATGTATGTGAGGGCTGGGTGTGGAGGCTCATGCCTGTAATCCCAGCACTTTGGTAGGCTGAGGAGTTGGAGGATCACTGGAACCCAGGAGTTCAAGAACAGCCTGGGCAACATAGTGAGCCCTTGTCTCTAAAAAGATTAAAAAGTTAACCAAGCTTGGCGGTGTGCACCTGTAGTCCCAGATACTCAGGAGACTGATGTGGGAGGATTATTTGAGCCTGGTAGGTTAAGGCAACAGCAAGCCATGATTGTGCCACTGCACTCCAGTCTGGGCAGCAGAGTGAGACCCTGTCTCAAAGAGAAAAAGAAAAGAAAAAAAATAAAGAAAGAAAGAAAAGCAATGTATGTGAGACAACAATGACGAAATTTTTGGAAGAAAACCTTGAAATGGTAGCATAAATTTATGTTCTGTTTCCTTAAACAACAGGATGAACAAGTGCTACCTTGGTCTTTATAAATTAAAAAAGAAAATTTCCCTTTTTTTTCTCTTTCCACTTTTCCATATCTGAAATGATTTCATAGTGTTTGTGCCTACAGCTGATAGCATAATTGTCTTGATTTCCAGAGAGCAAGGACCACCTGGGTTGACCTTCACTGTTAAAGCTAACTGTTTCTGAATCCATGTTAAGACAGTGTAAACAAATATATTTAGAGTTATAGGCCTCCACTCCCCACCCGTGCATGATTTTACCTCCACCTTTGGGCATTTCAGAGTCCCAGAATGTAGTAAACACCAGGCAAGCTCTCCCACCTCTTGCTGAGGGGCATGTTGCCCACAGGGATTGTACAGCTCCAGGACAGCATCTTTCAGATTGATCTCTCTAGAAATAGCTTTATTGAGTTTTAATCCCTAATTTTTAAAATTATTTTACAGGTTCTATAATTAGAGACATATTTCTGGATAGGAACTCATGATCAGGGCCCAGAAAAATAAACCATAGACTTCTGGTTGCTTTGCTGTTTCACATTGTGATACAGAGAGATGCAGCAATTGTGAGTATGATAGGTACATTTGAGTATAAATGTTGGAGAACATTAAAAGATAAAGCCTCTTTCACAGTTGCCAATCTATATATCAGATCAAGATCAGCTTGCCTGAAAAATTAAAACAGTGAGTAGCCTCCTTCATACTTGAGTTGATTTAGATGATCCATTGCTTTATGTAGTGGGAATTTTTTAAATGATTGCTGCTAGAAAGTACCCTTAACGTTTTCTAGGAGATCCTAGGAACAGGATGTCTGCCTGATTCTGGGTCTTCCATTTACTCACTAGCTAAAGCTTACTGAATGATTACTGTGCCAAATACTGTGCTAAATATTTCACATGGATTATTTTATTTCATCCTTACTTGTACATGTCGTTTAATCTTGCTGAACCTCACTTTTTTCTCATCTAAGAAATGTGTCATGATTTGTCCACTACTCTATGTGAGCGTGAAAACTATATTTGGTAAAATATATAAAAATTCTCTGAAAATGATAAAGCACTAAGATTGGGAGTAAAGTCAGATGATGACACTAACTGTAGCCCATTAAACTATACCCTTATCCATTAGAAGTGTGGCCCAAAACCTGAGTGTTAGACTGAGTCATAGTATCCCTCTGCTATTTATAAGTATGTATAACTCAGTGACAATAATATATTTTCAGTATTGTATAACCAACACCACAATCCATACCCAGAACTTTCTTATCATCCCCAACAAAAATACTGTAGCTATTAATTAATAATTCTCTCTATCCATCTACCCTTAGTTTCTGGTAATTAATCTTTCTCTATGAATTTGCCTATTGTAGATACTTGGTATAATTGGAATCATACAATATTTATCCTTCTGTGTCTGGCTTATCTGGGTAAGCATAACACTTCAAGGTTCATCCATATTGTAGCATGTATCAAAATTAATTTTATTGCTGAATAATATTCTGTTGTATATATATGCCATATTTTATCTGTTCATCTGTTGATAGGCACTTAGGTTGTTTTTACCTTTTGATTATTATAAATAATGCTTCTATGAACATGGTTATAGAAATGTTTGTTAGAGTCCCCACTTTTAATCCTTTTGGACATATACCTGTGAGTTGAATTAATGGATTATGTGTAGTTGTGTGTTTAAACTTTTTAGAAACCACCAAACTGTTTTCCACAGTAGCCATGCCATTTTATATTCCCACCAGATATTTAAGAGGGTTCCCATTTCTTCATATCCTTGCTAACACTTGTTATTTTCAATTAAAATTTATTATTATCATCCCAGTAGATGTGAGGTGGTATCTCATTGTGGTTTTGATTTACTTTTGCTTACTGATTTATGATGCTGATCATCTTTTCATGTGCTTATTGGCCATTTGTATATCTCCTACGTAGAACTATTTATTTAAATAGTTTGTCCATTTTTTGAGTTGGATTTTGTTGTTGTTGTTGTTGAGTTTCAGTTCTTT